TGCAGAGACCAGCCCCACAGGCTGTGGGTGTGGGGCTGGGCCCCCCCAGCTCCCCTCGGCTACCGGTGCCGGTGTTCCAGCAGAGCCTCAAAGTCCGGGGAACAGACCAGCTTGTGCTTCACGTGGCCCAGGACAATCATCTCGCCCGTCCGGTTGTCTCCGATGCCGACGGACACCAGCTCCTTTTCCAGAGGGAAGAAACACCCATGAGCAGTCCACTCCCACGGGAAACCCTTTAACCATGGTGGGAGAAGGGCCAGGGTCCCTGCCCGCTGCAGGGGGCTAAGCCTGGAGGAGATGTCCCCAGGGTGTGGGTAGCAGGGGGTCACAAGTGTGGGATCCTTCCCCCCAGCCGCCACAAGGATGGGCTGCCAGCCACATCACCTAAAAGGCCAGCACCACCCTCCTCCTCCTTGATGGTCCCAGGGACCCCCAAGGGGTCATCTTGGGGTGCAGTCCCACAAATCAGGTCCCCAGCACCACCACCCCCAGCCCCCATACCTGTAGGAAGGAGCAGGGGGTCCCCATGGTCACGTCCAGGGTCACCTTGCCCAGCACCAGCTGCACCTTCCCCGACTTGCGGATGAGCAGTTTCCCCACCTGCCCCTCAGGGAGGTCGGCCAGGGTGCAGGTATTCTCCGCCTGCCTCGCCTCCTGCCGAGGGACACCATGGGATTGGGGAGGGGGACATCACCATGCCGTTCCCCCGCCCTCCCCCAAGCCCCTACCTGGCTCTTCTCCTGCTTCACCACGACAACTTGCCCTTCCTCATTCTGCAGCTCTGTCTTGATGGGTTTGGTGTCCTGGGTGGGCGGCTGGCCGGGCAGCGTGTCGGGCAGCTGCAGGAAGAGCAGCTCCTCCTCGGCCGACAGGCTCAGCCGCTGGAGCAGCAGACGTCCCGGGGGAACCCGGGGGATCCCTTGGTTTGCACCGGTTTGGGCAGGGGGTCCTCATCGCACGGCTCTTCTTTCACTGGCACCGGGGGGTGAGAGGCGGCGGGTGGGCACGGGGAGGGAGGGCAGCCCCCCAGTGCCTGCCCATCAGGATGCCCCCAGCCCCAACGCACCTTTCACCGCCGGTGGGTCCAGCTCCATCGTCTC